ACACCCAGCATGTGTTTTTAGGGGCTATGAATTTAGGTCAGAGGTTAGGGCTATTTCAGATCAGCCTCACTAAGTACAAGTTAGTCAGTAAATCTACAACAACCGGCGATTGTTAAAAACGTTGACGACAACGGCTTCAACGATGTTTTTGAAAGTAACTACTGACGCGTTCTGCAAGACCACAACTAGTAGACGTTTACATCCTGAAATAACTAATCTGGCTGCAAACCATAAAAACCAATGCTCTACGCTGATGATATGACGATGTGCATGAGTGATCCAGTCGGCAGTGAATCCCAAATTAAAGTCAGTGTGAACAAATATGTGTTCACTTTGCTTTAACAACCAGAGGATTGATATGGTATTAACTAATACGGGAGTCGATTCAGGTCTGAAAACCGTATTAGTTTTACTCTTGCATGATATTTGTGACATTTTTTTTCAGATAATTAATTCCATGACTTGGACTTGGACACCTGTTCCTGGTGAAAAAAAAGTGAAGAATACAGCACTCAGACAGTGTCAACTCAAACGGACCTTGATGTTTGGATTTAAGGACAGAAATCATGAACAATGTTCACGGGACATTGACGTTACACTGTAAAAAATGTTTTTCTTACAAAACAAGCTGCGAAATGTACAAATTGCGAAAAATATCGTATTTTTCCTCATTAGGTATAAAAAAGCTGCCTCAAACGAGGCAAATGAAGTCACTTCATATGTAATGAAAGGGAAACAGATACAGTGTTGACAGTAGAAAGTACTCAGAAGTTCAGATCCAGACAGTGGAGCTCGTGTGGGTTTGTAGGCTTCAAGGACACTGAGTTGGTATGGCTTTGGACAGGACAGAAAATGTGGGCAACATTTGGTTATCTACTAGCCCTACCGCTAGCCCACATTGAATCAACACTAATATCAGTGTTTTTCCAGTCTTTTATCTGAGCATTCAGTAGAAAGACTTGAGTTTTGTAGAAGGACAAAACACATCAAACCAATTCTTAGGAGAATTCAATCATCACTCAGCCGTTAAATAAAGTAACTCTGATGAACCTCAGACACGTTCAGCTGTTGAGTGAGAATCCTTTCACTATTTACTAAGTTATGTTTCTTACCAGCAACGTTGATTACTGGAAGAAAAATACTGGTCTAGAGAAACTAGCGTTAACCTTCCCGAGGCGTGTAGAATACCACAGAACACAGTGGTGAAGATATGGCACCCTAGAAACGTCGGCTGAGACCAAACATCTGCCTAAAAAAAGTGCTTGAATCTCGACTTGCGACATGTACAGATTAAAGGCTGGAATTTAAGGAGGGAATGTTTCTAATTGTGGCTAACCTTTAGAGACTTATATTAAATAAACGCAAAAAATGCTATGGACAAAACAACAAAAGTTTGATCTTGAAACGATGATCGTAGCAGAGTCATGCTTTGGGGCTATTTTTTCTGATAAAACAGTAGCTTTAGCAAGTTAGAGAAAAATTTAAAAACGTAACCTGCCAGCACAAAAAAAAAAAAAAAAAAACATCTGCAAGAAAACCTTTGGTGTGAACATGAAATGTCCTTACGATCGTAATCATTTTTATTACTAATGTTTACTCTTTTGTCCTCCTCTCTCTTCAGGTCAAATGTGTTGTTTTAGTTCAGTTTAAAAGGATTTTGAAAATTTTCAAACATACAAATTTTAGAAAATGCGTTTAAAAATAAACATCTTGAATTATCACACAGGTGTGTAGAAATGCTGGCTGAAAGTGTTGTTCTTGTCGGTACCAACCAACATGATAATAACCTGACATTTTCCAAAAGAACCAGTGTATAAACGTGTAAAAGTCAGGTTTTCTATCGTATGGCTGATGTCGTGCACTGAAGGATTGTGAAGTTGTTACAGTGATAGTTACAAAGGTTCTTCAGAAATGCTACAAAGTACTCAGCAATGAAACTTCAACTCTAAAAAGACACTTTTTTTTCTCTTTTTAAATATCAGTAGTTTCCTTGAAAGCAGTTTGTGTAGATAACGTGTACATGTGTTCGTTAGACAGTTGTGACAGTGTAGATAACGTGTACATGTGTTCGTTCGTGTTCGTTAGACAGTTGTGACGGACAAGAAGGCGTTGTGGACTTTCGAGCTCTCAGGAACTCTGGCTCCGTGGCTCATTAACTCCTGGATGGTCATCCAGTTGTCGAGGATCTTTTTGTTCCGTTTCTTCATCATCTTTTTGTGACTGAGCTCTAAGATATTGATCTCCTTCTTGCCCTCGGCTCCGCTGGCCGTGCCCTCCTTCAGACACTCTAAGCGGCTTTTCTGCATGAACTCCCTCCTCTTCCTCTGCTCCCTGGCCCGGGCCAAGTGCTGCTTTCGCTCCTCTTTGCTCCAGTATCGGCCCATCTTCATTTCACTCATAGCGTCGTCGTCCGTGGTCATGCCTCCGCTTCTCTCCTCCCTGATCCTGAGCGCCCGTTCCCTCAGGATGCGATCACGCGCCGGCCTACGGGCCACGTAGCGTGTACCGTCTGCGCGCACTTTGACCTTCCATTCCAGACGCGGTTCCCCAGGGCGTCCGCTCCTGTGCACCGGATCGCGGCAGACACTGAGCAGACTCAGCTGGCTCTGGGAGTACTCCAGGGAGGAGTGCTGCTGGAGCAGCTGCATGTAGCTCTGCAACACAAGGAAAGACTGTCATCACAAGTGGATCACTCAGGGGAAAATCTGGTTTTGGTTGAAACATTTCTTTTATGGCACAAACCTGGAGTTGCCTGGATCCTCCTGGGCCTGAATAAGGACTTGTTTGGTACGAACAGCCATATGGAAGTGCTCTCCTGGATTCCCTGCTCCTACCTTTCTTCTCACACCTCTCGTCATCTGCGGGTAGGGCAGGGTCTGACTCCGACCTGGATTGGTTGCTCTGGTCAGGGCTGCTGGAGATAACGAGTCCTGGCTCTGCTGGTCTGCTACGACTGGGTGTACCATGAGGCTTAGGGATGGGGATTGGGCAGGAGGGTGTGGACGAGGCCAGTCTGAGGTTTTTCTGGTTGGTGATGGCGATGTGTCTTTGTAAAGAGTGGTCCGGAGAGCGTTCCATACCGAGCGGTGTGGACCTGGCACTCTCTGCTGTGTTGTAGGCACTGGAGCTGTCCTTCTCCCGGATCTTGTCACTCTCTGGGTGTTCATGGATGTCGGCCAACCTGCTGTGCAGTTTGTGCCCATCCTTAGGGCTCCGTCCTGGTGAGCAGGGAGTGGAGTCTAAAGTCTGGCGGAGTTGATGTGCCTGCATGATGCTCTGACATTCCAGCTCGATGCTTCTCAGTTCCTCATTGAGCATCTTTAACTCATGCTCCACCCCACTCCCTTCTCCTTCGCTATCCACACCGTCCCCATCCCCGCTGCCTTTTTCCGTAAGGCTGCACTCTATGCTGTGTCGGATGGAATACACCCCGCACTCCCCTCCATTTCGTATTTGACACTTCAGTTCCAGCAGTTGCTGAAAGCAGTTCTCTAAGCCGAGGATCCCGCCTCCGCTACTAGGGATACTAACCATGGCCTCGTGGCCCTGGCCTTTAGACGGAGTCCTTTGACTGTGGAGGCCCTGTGGATCATCTGTCCCTGCCCTCGTGTGTGGATGCTCTGCCCTCCATCGGTCCCTGAGGCAACGGGCGGGGCTTCTTCTGTGGAGCCTGGCCAGCAAGGGTTGATGGTCAGGACTGTCTGTGCTGCGTCCTAAGCCACTGTCTTGGTTGATGGAGGAACATGTAGCTGTGTCTGTTGTCATTTCTTCATCAGCTTGATGCTGGTTAAAAAACAAATTGTTGCTGTCAAACTTTGTATGTCCAGAAATTTGACTAATGTCAACTTGCAGAATTCTTCACATGCACATTTCACTAGAAGTAAAAAGCAAAAATACAGAACAAGAACTTTTTGAAAACTGAAGTGTTTTTTTCAAACTCCATTGCCGAAGGTTGCATCAGAATGGACACTTCCTGTCTAGGTTTAAAAGTGGACCAAATCACCAAAACAAGGGAAACAAGCCAAACCCCCTCTCCCCCTCCAAAACAAAACAAAAAAACACAGCAGGTTCATTCTCATTTGAATTCCCCTGAAACCAGACCAGGAACACACTCCTTCCTATTTGACTCTGCTCATTAAACACGATCCCCATTGGCCACAAACTATTTTTGTAGAGGTTAAAATTAAGTTTTGAAACTTCCACTCACTTTTACTATTAAAAAATGTACATTGTTAATTGTTTTTTTTAGCTGTGGAAGTTAAAAAATGTGCAAATTAAAAAATAGCCACCTTTGGTTTTGAAACTTCCACTCACTTTTACTACTAAAAAATGTACGTTGTTAATTGTTTTTTTTTAGCTGTGGAAGTTAAAAAGCCTTTAGTCTATAGAGCAGTGGCTCGTAACCTTTTTTGGCTTGTGACCCCATTTTGACATCACACATTTCTGGCAACCCCAGAGACATTTTTATTAAATCATGAAGTAGTTTTTGATCTTGTTTGTTATCATGTCACGCCTGAGCCAGATTAGTCCACAGTGACATTTTATTTTCCCTGAAATTTTGTCAATATTCTTTTTAATCTTTATTAGACATTTCAGGCGACCACATGTGGCTTCGCAACCCCCAGGTTGAAAAAGGTGAGCACAGAGGGAGTTGATACGACTTGTGATTAATGCAGCTAACAGTAGATCTTTCATATCTGGTCTCCGACTCGCCCTGTTGTCGTCTTCCCTCTCACCTCGTCTCCTCTGTCAAAGCGCTGCTCTTTCTTTCTCCTCTCCTCCAGAAGCTCCATCTTCAGCTCCTCCACCAGCTCCTGCTGCTCATCATCCAGCCATACCTCCTCCTCCAGCTGCAATCAAAACATCTTGTCAGGAAAAAGAGCCTCTGTCACAGTGTGTGTGTGAATGATTGTGTGTGTGCGTTTGTGCAGAAGCAATACAGGAAAAAAAAAATCCCGCTGACAGTTGTGTTGAGTGGAGAAAGCAGTCGTCAGGCAGCTGACGTTATGTGACATGACATACGGAGCGGGGAGCCAATGTCGGCACGTGGGTGTGTGCGTGTTTACCTGGATTTCGGGTCTTGTCACCAGCAGTACGATGCTCCTTGCTTCTTCACTTGACAACAAGGCAACGGCTTTCTCCCTGTCTCGCACCTCGCACCCATTTATCTGCACATCAAACACAGCCGTAGTTGGCGGGGGTTAACTCAAAAGACCTACATACCATAGAAAAGATAGTTTGTGATTTTATTGTCCATGTCGCTGCCAGGGATGAAAAGACGAGTAATAAAACCATCCATTTTTATTACTACATATGAGGAACCTTATTTCTCTCCCTCCATTAGTTCCTTCTCTGCTCGTTTTTTACCCCTTCCTTCCTCCTCCCACCTGCTCCCCCCCCCCCCCCCCTCCTCCCTCACTTCTATCACCTCTATCCAATTGTTTGGGGGGAAGAAAAAACAATGTGCACTGCTGCATGCTTGGTAAAGAGAGTCAACTGCATGTGCGCATCGTCGGAGCTCAGGAGGGGCTGCTCGCACCACACATCCAGACAAACAATTAACTGTTGTTTGACAAGTGGCGTTCATCTTTTCCTCACTGGAGTAATGGGGCTGTCAGGGGGAGGTAATTGGGCCAGGAGCACAGAGGGGCTTGAACCCCACATTTATCCACACTGCAAACGGACACAGTATACTGGGAGGAGGCAGGTATTCCAAAACAGGTACTCTGAAATGTGTACTCTTAACAGGTACTCTAATACAGGTACTCTAAAAGATGTACTCTGAAATTACTCTGAAATGTGTACTCTTAACAGGTACTCTAAAACGGGTACTCCAATACAGGACCTCTAAAATGGGTACCCTCAAACATGTACTCTAAAATGGGTACTCTGAAACGTGTACTCTAAAACCAGTACTCTAAATCAGTTACTCCAAATTCATTGTCATTCTTGGTCCATACACTTGAACAAAGACCTCATGAACAATACTCTTAACAGGTACTCTAAAACAAATACTCTAAAACGGGTACTCCAATACAGGACCTCTAAAATGGGTACTCTCAAACATGTACTCTAAAATGGGTACTCTGAAACGTGTACTCTAAAACCAGTACTCTAAATCAGTTACTCAGTTACAAATTCATGGTCATTACTTTGTCCATACACAAGAACAAAAAAACTCTACTAATTATTAATAACGGTACCAGACTGGACTGTAGGTATTAACGGGTTCTAAAGGTGCAATTCTATACAATTTGTAGCTCAGACCTCATTGTGCACAGAGGTCAAAGGTCACAAAATCCCAAACGTATCACAGCTACGGCACCAAAAATGTAAAGAAAAGAGAGCTGGTCTGGTCTGTTGAGTCTGACCCAACATGTGGTTTTGTATAATAAGACTAGAATCCAGAGAGAGACAGAGAGGGAGGGAGCGCTGCTGAAGATGATGATGTAGTAGCTGGAGTAACAGCTGATTATGACATATAAATTCTTTATGTTGTAACGGTACACACCACACACCAGCGGATTCTCTCCACAACACGGCAGAAGTACATTTTCTTTCATCTTGTGAATGATGTAATGGGAGCCATGTGTGTATGAGCTCATTTCAGTTGGTCTGAAATGGAACTCAACTCCGCACCTGTAAAATACGGTCTCCTTCCCTGATGCGTCCATCCTTTGCTGCTATACTGTTTGGTTCCACCTGCAGGGAGGAACATGGAAACGAAGTCAGACACGAGATCATTGTCTACTCATCTCTACCATCTACGGAAAATTTGATGAGGTTTTTGGAATCGTAGTAATTTGACTTCCCCTTTGGGTGACAATATTAAGACAGATTTTTTGATACTGCGGTTTGGGTGACAATATTAAGACAGATTTTGGATACTGTGTGTGGCTCTGAGGTCTAGGGCTCTTTACTGTGTCACATGTCATCAGCAGGACCTTTTGGGGTGTTGCCTGAATGAAATTTCTGTTAAGAAATTGAACTTTTTATGAGTTCATTTTATTCTCCGCTCGTGTGAAAAGCACGATTTATTGCATCTAATTTTTTCCAGAGTGGTATCTGGTGACTCTGAACCATAAAATGAAAGAGACTGAGTAGGTGTCGTCACTGAGGCACCGGTACAAAAGGAAATACAATAACAATAACATAAAAAAGGCTGTAGAAGTGTTTATGGTGCAGACACGACTGTTGTCGCCCGATGAATCAACATCTCATATGCTGTTGAACATTCATCCCTGTGGATACGCATCTGAAACAGCACGTCACTGTAAACTCACAGATATCACTTGATAAAATTTGTTTTTTTGTTTTTTTTTTTGCACGAAACCTTGACAGAAAAGCAGAAAAGAAAAACATCACGCACTTCCCCAGAGTTGCCCCAGTGCTATCTTTGTATAAATTCTAATGAGGGAAATTAACATTTTTATCCTTCTATCAGGCAAACAAAAATAGACGTGAGCGGTCGGCGGGGGGGCTGTGTCTGTCGAGGTTCAGACGGCGCTCAGGTTGTTTGTGGTTTTTTCAGTAGCATAATAATAGAGTCTTTGTGGAGCTTAAGACGCCAAAGACGGAGGCAAAGCCGCCAGGGTGGGCAGGTTTACGGAGTGTACACCTACCATTTTATTATAAAGGCTGAAAGAGTTAAATATACCACAGCCCCTTGTATGTTCTGACAGTCACATGGTCACAGCTGTAACATGATCCAAACTAATTGGTTTTCATGCTTTTCATTTCGTGTCGTTAACCCAACAGAAGCCGCACCTGCAGTCGGACTGAACACTGTTCTTTTGTCGTTGTTTAAATAACTGTTATGTTTCATCTTTGTTCTGTGTGTTTGGTTTTAAGAGATAACCTGCACCTAATGAGCCCGTGTTGTGTTTAAGGTCCCGCAGTGATCGATTATACACTTCACTTAAAACGAGAGGAGACTCAAAGGATGAAAATAATGTTTTAAACACGAGCTCCTTTTTTTTTTTTTAATTCAAGGCTGGTTCATTACCTGTTGATATTTTGGTCTTTTTGACTCATTTTTTAATAACCACTCTTACCTTCGTCACATCTGGATATTGGGAATTTTATCGTCTGTCTAATTAGTAGCCGATAAAAGAAAATAAATGAGCCGTGAGTTTGGTTAGTTTTTCGAAAAGTAGGTTGTTTTCTTTACTTTTAGTTTACCTCAAGGTCATAACATTGTTGTCACAACAAAGTTTTGTCTCAAAAACCCATAAAGTACCAGATAATCTAGGTTCTTGTACCAACATGAACTTCAAATCTGAGGTTGAAAACAACTTCCTGTGACCCAGATTTGGCTAGTAGTAGTTCATAGTTTGGGTTAATTCCCAATCTTTTTTGGTGTGTGACCCCATTTTGATTCACAAATTTCTGAATTTTTTATACATTTATATCTGTTACGCTGCTACAGGCCAAGACTGCTGGAGGAACTCCCATGGTGCCCTGACTTATCTTACATTGTAATGGCGTGTCTGCTTTTGAAACACACAATGTCACATCACACAGGAAGACGGACACAGAGGACACCATGTAGTGTCCACAATATCCAGTTGATGACCAGTGACGGCCTGTTAAGTGACTTTGGTAAAAAAAAATCTCTCTCGTCTGTAATTTACGTCACTAAAACTATCTTGTATTTATCGTGGATGCTAACTTAGATCTGTTCGTATGTGTTGATGTTGCTGAGTTAACAAAATGGATTAGCGTTAGCGTCGGTGCCGACCTGGCTGACGTAGATGCTGGTGTCCTCCTCATCGTCAGTCCTGTAGCACAGCGTCAGTCCAAGCTTCTCCTGGCTATTCTGTCGGCACAGTTCCCCACTTCCTGTGTGACAAACACACACACACACACACACACACACACACACACACACACACACACACACACACACACACACACACACACACACACACACACACACACACACACACACACACACACACACACACACACACCAACACTGTTTAGGACTGATAACGTTAACGCCTGTTGTGAGCCCATGCAGACTGGAAAGATTCCAGAACCATATAATTTCATGGATTTAATGATACCACCCACGGCAGACTGAGTTCAACTTGATTTTTACGCAGCACATAACTGTTACTAATCACACTGGGAGTGTTTTACTGTCCCACGGCCGTGAGTCTGTTAAACAGCTCTGGGCAGAAACAGATCCGTTATTTTTCTGCTGATGATGAACAAAGAGCCAGCTGTGGGCGAAAAAGAGTTCATTTGAAACTTAAAAAAAAATTGTGGGAAAGGGAAAAAAAATAAATGTTCAGGGCATAGATAAATGTTCTTGAGATAAAATTAATTTCTGTTGTCACTTTTTGGCTAGCATCGTACTCCATTTTTATAATGTAATCGCTATGGTTAGCAGCCTAGCAACAGCTAAATTTGGACAACATTAAGCTATCTACAAGCTAAACGTTAGCACGTAGATGAAGTCCAGTACAATCATAACCTAATGAACGATAAATAACAAAACGTCCATGTTTTTCCCCTTTGTTTTCATGCAGAGAAGTACAAGTATATGAAATATTTATAATTATTTATTCATATAAAATGAAATATCATTTTCCAGACAACACTACAAACATGTCTGTGTAATAAAATGAAATATCATTTTCCAGACAATACTACAAACATGAAGTGTTTGTGACTTTTGTTTATTTTTAAAATTCATCAAGCGGGCCACATTAAACACCCTAGCGGGCCAGTTTCGGTCTGTGGGCTGTATGTTTGACACATCAGTGTTATAAGGTCTAATGTTTAGCCACCTTACTGCTGCAGTTTCATAGACGATGGCAGCAAAAACACAGCTGCAACACGCCATCTGTGAATGAATGAAACTGTCACTGCGCTGTAACTTATCACACTGACACCAGCGTGTGTCCGTGGAGCAGGCGAGCCTTTGATGGGCGTCTCCGCCGATAAAACTTCTCCAAATTTAAAAACATTCTCGCAGCCGCCCGCCTTCAGATCTCTGCGGTGCGTGAAGGCAATCACACAAAGATAACGCCACCGCTAATCTTTATTAACCCCTCGCTGCCAAATTAATATCATCGCTGCGAAGTTGCAGAAGGAGGGGTGTGGCGCCGAGCGTGGAGTGAAGAAGAGGATAACAGTGGGGGGAAGGGTGTCGGAATTAAACCTCAATCCCCCAATTTCTTTTTTTTTTCGTCATGGGGGGAGAACGATAGCAGAGATTGACAGGGGAAGTAATTAATTTCTGTGGCATTTAACCCCCGGTGCAGACAGGCCTGACCTTCAAAGGTTGTGCTGTGTTATGAGTTTATAATACTGTAGCCAGACTGGAGCATCACTCCCTGCTCCACACACACACACACACACACACACACACACCTTCACAGACTGATTTGTACGGAGCCCTTGGTGAAATACCCAGCAGCATATGGTGAGATCAGACGGTATTAGCACCTTCATGTCGACACACGTTCACTGTTCTGTTCTGTGCTGGTGGTGCAGT